AATTGAAGAAGTGTAGTTATATAAGTATACTACATCTGAGTGCAAAGTGGTCTTTCTCAGTATGATAGGTTTAAAAAATATTTCTAATCCAAACTCTGTAGAAGGCACTCACAAGGGACAAATAACTTAATATTGACATAGACTTAAAATATATTGAAAAGACATAAATCAGAATAATGAGATTCATAAATCTGTTAATATTAATGGGAAAGCCTTTGGGAAATGTGGTGTAAAATCAAAGAAAAAGATGAACTTGAGATGTAAGTGATGACTCTAGTTAAATGAATAAAAAATTGGATATTTTGTTTCAATGCCTTCTCAAGTCAGAGAAAATTGTTACATCCTTTTGAAATTATGCTTTTGTCTTTACTACTGCCTCAAACAGACAGAACACAAAAATATTAGGCAAAATGAATCAAAGGCAACCCTAGAAGCCTGCTAATAAGTTAAAAAAAAGCCCTGGAACTATTTGTTTTTCGCATCATGGAATGAGGAAAGCACCATGAAGCCTTTCTTTCAAAAATTCTCTCTAAAATCAATAGACTAATTCTACACTGAATTTCAAGGCTATAAAACTTTATTAGCAAGAAAGATATGTATATTGTTATTCATTTGTTCACACTGCGATGGTTAAGGGTCTGTCAGCATTTCCTTTAAAAACCCCTATAATTTTACAGAGAATTCTAACACACTCAGAAACGGCACTTGAGGCCGAGTGTAACAAAAGGGTTTCCTATCAGCGTGAGAGGCAAGATAATGCAGAAGCTTTTATGTTTTCTAGTTATTTTACAGTTTTAAATTTTCTAATTATATTACAGAATCTTCACTAAAAGATTCAAAATTCTGTTTAATGCAGATCTGCAGAAAACCACTGGGGTTTTTTTTGAGCAATCATCAAGTTGAAAGTGTTTGAAAGGATTCTCAGATTCTCCATTTCTTAGCTGAACTGTCTGTTTACATAACAGTGAAAGTCAGACCGTGATCTACCATTTCCCCATTTCTTCTTTAAAGTCCCCTTAAAGATAATTCCCATTCATGTGTAACTGACTGCTGTATATCGGCAGCATTTTAAAATCTCCAATCAATATCCTGGATGTTTTCAAAGAAATTAATTAGTCTCACTGAGGAGTTACTTTGCTAGGTTGGAAAAAAATCTCTTTGCTACAGTTGGTATTGACTATAGAGTCAACTGGATAGACACAATGTTTACCCTCCTAAGAGGTCAATTTAAGTGCTCCGGGCAATACAGTGGATGTAAGTGTTCATCCATTTTCTGCTGTTTCATTTGCAAGCACTGGCTACATACAGTCTTCTGGTTCAGCACAATTGTTTCAGGCTACTACCTGTTTTTACTCACACTTACCCTTCATTCTGATATAATTCTTAAGTCAGTGGTTTTCTGGTTAGGGATGGTTTCTTTGCTAACAGCAGATTATTAAAAAAAAAAAAAAAACCAAAAAACTATTGATTTCAGTGTAAGCAGATGGACTCTATAAAAGAGGAATCTCTATGATAAAATAATAGTTTTCAAAAGTATTCAAATTACAAAATCTTGCTAAATGCATTATGAAGTCATTTTATATAGCAGATAAATAACATATGTTTTTCACAACCCCAGTTCCATGTTTATAGCATTCTGTGGTGTAGGAGTGAGGGAGTAGCTGGTAGGAAGGCAGGCGCTGCAGGTTACAGTTGTACACAAAGTGGTTCTGCAAGAACCTGCTTCATCTGCTACGTCACTTCTAGACACCCATCGTTTAAAGGTACAGGAAAAGGCCATTTGTAAGACATTTATGCTATGTTTAGAGTGGGGTGGAATTTTCTCACCAACTAATGAGTTCATTAGTTTCACATAATATAACGTTTTCAAAGCTTCCAGGGAGTTTGCAATATAGTTGCAATACCTCTCTCCCAGAGTTATGGGGCCTTCTCCCACCCACAATTGCTGAAGAACATGTTCGGAAATTGGAAAATTTCATAATAATTTTTTTTCTTTCAGTCTCTCCTCCCTCCCCAAACATTTTGCCCTTAAAAAAAGTACTTTTACAGCATGTGTAAGTGACCTGAAAAAATGAAACAAAGTATGCTGGGCTGCCTGGGAGTGGATTTTAAGCACCAATCTGCAAAGGCTACCATTTGTTACGTTAGCAGGTCATCAGGAAGTTAAAACCAGCGGCCAAATCCTCACCTTAACTAAAATGTCTCAGCTTTGTTGAAGAGTCTTCCCAAGAGACAGCATGACCTGCAGGAGCATGGAAACATTTCTGTCTTTCTCTCTGATTCAGTGAACACTCAAGTGTTTTGTGTCTTCCAGGAGACGGAGAGCCTTTCCCTTCAGCCGAGTGCCTTGAGGACTTGCCTCGCAGGAGGGAGATGAGGATAGAGGCCCCCGAGTGCAAGCGGATTTCAAGCCCTGCTATTTCCCGCTTTGCAGAGGTGCCACCTTGCCTCTGGGCTCCTCCAGCCTCCTTCTTCGCTCTGTTAGTTTAGCCTCATTTTTTAGTTTAGCCTCAATTATTTTCAGATGAAACTATTTGTGAATTTGGAAAATAAATGAACAGGTTTGCACTTAAAACCACATTTGATGAGTGAAATACTTCCTGAAAAAAATTGCCCAAACCAGAATGAATAGTGTTATGGGTTTTCGTAAATTCTCTCTGGGAAGTTTATCAGATGATTTTCTTGTCCATGAAGTTAAGAGCCCAGAGCTTGTTCTGCACCAGCTTCCTGCACGCCTATTAAAAGTGGGAAGCCCTGTTGGGCTTTCCTTCCTATGACAGCTTGGCCATAACTCTTTAATCAGTTTTCCATAGCTGAAAAGTGTTGTTGGTTTTGTTTATTACTGTGAACTGCAAGTCTGTGTGTTCTCTTCTTGGTATCCCCAACATGAATTGTGTTTTATAAACATCCTGTTGGTATTGATGGAATAACTGGAAACTTAATAAGACTTTGATCTTTTCTAGCAACGCACATGTACTAAAGCACAATGTTAGCAGAGTCTTCAAAGTACTAACATAAAAAAAAAAATTCTCCGTGACTGTGAGATGTACATTGCACATTAGTTCATGTGCAATGTTGTCTGAGAACAGCTCTTACAAAATCTTCACAAATTTTAAAGTTTCAGAGTAAAACTTTAAGATAAATTAAACAAAAAAAAATCCTGATTGGGGGAATTAAACAACTGACAACCGATTTGAGAATTATTTCCCTTTTATAATAATATAATCTAAGGCTATCAGAAAGTCTTCCTGAAATACAAAATGTTTCTTTTTCTTGTCATTATTCTGCTAAATTTATTTTATTTAGACACTTACACTGATATCAGTCATACACACAATTATAGACATATAGTTGTAACGTAGCAAAGCCCTGTTTCTTTTTGTGCCTAAGGACTGCAAATATTGCTTCAAGTAAAAATAGATTCTCAGCTTGGCATAATTTATGATGCAAGCATTCTGAAAATAGATAATTCATAAAACACTCAACAGATACGAAACAATTTTTTAAACGCATCTTTTGCAAGAAATTTTTTTTTGCAAACTAAACACTCCTTTAAAGATGACCCTGTGGACTACAATAGATAGGACAATCAGTGAGAGACAAGTTTCAGATTGCTTTTGAATAACATCTAAAGCTTCATGGTGGCCCCTTTGATGTGACCCCCAAGGGGACTGACCACCTGTGTTGCTTTGTGCAGTGATGATTTGTTAATTAGGAAAACAAGAAACACAATATGGCCTCAAGCAAACCTTTAAATAATCCTAGATGAAATTTAGATTTCTTTTGTTATCCTTACATTATTCTTTACATAAGATAAATCATTCCACCAACATAAATAACAGCCTAATTCTGCATTTTTGCATCCAGTCTTCCAAAAAGATCATTCTTTCACGTATCTTTTCTTATTTTCTCTCTACTGCCTAAACAAGACTGTGCAAACAAGTTAATTTTTCAGAAGGGACAGTCAATTCATATGGCCAGCTCTTACCTATTCCTTTACAGATATTAAGTTCACCCAGGGTTTTTTTCACTTCACAAGTCATTATTAATTATTGAATATATTTCTTAAGTGCCCAATACTATAGCATCTGCACCACAACCTACCTGAGTTCTGATTTTTCTTCCTGAAGGTAAACAAATGAACAAGCTATTATTATTTTACAGTCATTTCAAGAAGACAAGGTGTTGTTTTTATAGCATAATAAATGCTGATCTCCACATTCTTTCTTATCGCCATCGCTTTGACTACTGATCAATGAGGCAATGACACATATTTTTCAATTGTTATAATGGCTGTAAATCAGACATGCTAACAGTAGTCCAAAGTGGCAGCAAATACCTCCCTCCTCATAATTTCTTAACCATTAAAACCAATATCCATTTCTTCAGCTAGGAAGTTAATGTTAAGAGGATAGCTTGAAGCTTGAATCTCAGTAAATAAATTCTGCATTTACAGGCATCCTAGCGTTTAAGATGTTTGCCATAATCATTTTGTCCTTTTCAGAGGGTGACTGCTGAAAGAAAAAGGAGGGATTAACCAAGGTGAGCCTATAGAAATGTGAGAACAATATCTTCTAGCCTGAGCCACACACTTCCTCTACAGAGATCTCCAAAGCATCATTAACATCGGATTTTCTGAAACACTGACATTTTAGCTTAATTTTTCTCTTTTTCTAGAGCAGGTATCTGAAGGAAAACCCATTAACATTTACGTAAAATTACTGTTAGAGAAAAAGTTACTAGAAAGTTCTTAAACTAAGGCTATCCTTAGGTGAAGAGCTGAGTGACTGCAAAATGACAGCTTTGTTCAGGCAAGGGCACAGAGCTGGGTTCAGGGTTGTTACAGTGGCGCAAAGGAGGTTTAAGTCCATGAAGTTATACCAGTTTGAGTGGTATGGGGACGGTATCAGGGTCCGCTAGCCTAATCTGATGGGTCATAGACGCACTTCAGTGACTTTAACTTTAAAATGATTTTTCAGATTCTCCACACTCTTCAGGACCTGCCCTCAAGTCATGATTTTAGGATACCACTCGTTAAGTGACATGACCAAGAACTTAGGCTGACCTTCTGCTGAAACATGAACATCCTCAGAGAGAAGAGTCCTCTCCTCCACAGAATCCTTGTCCACCTCCCGAGCAATGTCCCACCTGGTCACTGGATGAGGTAGGAAAAATCAAAAGTTCATGTCATTAATGACAGCATGCAAATGCATAAGCACAAAAGGAGGAGTATAATTAAACTGCATGGGCAAACACCTCTTGTTTCTTCATGCAAGAAAAGTTTTTTTGTAAAGTTCATTTCTGATTCAAAGCATGCTTTTGTGATGTAATATCATGTTAAGGATCTTCTTATAGTTATCCAGAAAAATGTTTTTCTACCTAAATGCTAACGCAAACTCACAAATTCCACTTTAATTCAGTTCTGTTCAGTATTTTGAAGTATATCCTCTTTTCAAGTGAAGTGTTGCCTTTTTTGCCTTGCTTATTTTAAATCCACCATTGGGATTAATTTGGTTATTTACTCTTAATAATGGAAATAAGTCAAAGGGGAAATGTTTTTCACACCAAACAGGCACCATGTTCTTTTGGTATGAACGTTCCTTTCCTTTGTTTTTGAAACAATCTTTTGATTTCCTAGGCTTTCCTTTCATGACCTTTAGGAGAAAAGGAAACTGCTGTTGAATACGGGATGCCTGGGATTTCTGTTTTATATTATACTTTTTAAATATTTGAACTCTACTTCAGGACGGAACAAATTAGAGTTGAAACTGCAGGGTGGGTTTCAAGGTTTCTTTATTTAATTTTCAGGGGTTTATATTTACTCCATTTTATATGCAAAGTACCCTTTTTGCACGTTCTGAACAGTCTTTTTATCGGTACTAGGTTTCTAATTAATAGTTACCTGCACAGCAGCTGTTAGTCTTCTTCATTACTCTTTCAAAAAAACATATTCATTTTGCACATTCCTGCCTGCTTTTGAGTTGGACTACATGAGGCTTTGAAAGGCATATGACAAGTTCCCTCATGCACCATTTCATTTTTGTTTATTCCCTCTACATATCTCCAAATACAGTTTTTGTGTCTTGATTTCAGCTCAAAAGAAACTTAAAACCACATATTTTCTTTTCCTTAGTAAGGAGCAGGTGAATGATACATCTGAACATTGCAATTTGCTGTCAGTGGGACGTGCACAGTGCTGGCACTGCCAGCCGTACAGTGACGCTCCATCTAGAAACAAGTGCGCAATCCAGGTGCTTGCAACAAGCTGACGTATAGTCTCCCTGCTACTGTATGGGGCATACTTGCTGTCTGGTAGAAACTTCAGAGATTGCCTTACCTGCTCAGTAGACAGGCAATTGAGATGAAACTCATTTCCTAAGATGATTTATACACAGCAGCAGTTTGGTAGTCTTATATACAGTAAGCAATAAAACTAGTTAAAAGATCATTAAATAACTCCCATGAAGTTGTAGCAATGCAATAAAAAAATCTAACCAACACAGAACACCTTGCATCACACAGCCTGCTAATTTACTAGCCTTCCAATTTCCAGTACCATATTTCCTCCTTTGCTCTGAGTTCTCAGGAGAACTCTCACCATGGGGAGAGAGCCAAAATCTTGCAGCACTCACCATGGTGTGCCAAGTAACTGTTCAAAGCTAGAGAAATTGCTTTGAACAAGGCAGAAAGAAGTTCTGATTTTAAACTTCCATATTAAAGTGGTAATGAACTGCATTTTTGTATATAGCTTTGAAAATCCCCACTGTGGAATCATGCACTATCAAGGGTCATTTTAATAACATTGATTGTTAAAAGGCACAGCTCCCAGTGTAAAAACAGAACTCATTAGAATTTGGGATAAAGCTGATTACAGAAGAACGCGTGAAAGTGAATATTAAGGAGATGAAGAGGAACTGGGTACCAGTGCTATATTCTAAAGGGACATCCATAATGTGCTTACTGTCCCAATCAGTGGTACCCAAAGGCAATGCGTACCTCTGTGAGCATACCCTACTGGAGAGGGATCTCTGAGAGTTTGGCCAAGGGTAACTATAAATATTAAAACCTTTATTATCAATGTTTGATAGAAACATAAAAAATTTATAGTTGTGTACAAGTTCTTTCTTTTGCAGAGGAGACGCATGAGATTTTATAACGCCACTGTTGAGTCATTCTTTCCTTTTTTTTTCTTCTCTCAGACAAAATCTAATTATTTCTCCCCAAATTTCTTTCTTTAACAGAAGTGGCCTTATCCAAAAGAAGCAAAATAGAATGAATAGCTAAAGCCTTATATACAGATAAATAGTAGATTCTGTATCAAGGTCATTCAGATAGGCTGCTGTGCTATGTTTTGTTTCACTTTTTAATTTCCAGTCCCTTAGCCCCTCTGCCTCCTTTTACTATTCAGGATATATTGGTCACAGACTCTCTCTTGTTTAGAAACAAATGCATTCAGACATCTTTGCTACTTACAAAAGCATAGTCTCAAATTACAGCAATCATTAACATAACAGTAACACATAAGACTTACTCCAGCATATTGAAAAGCCTGTGAAGCTTTCAATGCACTCTGTAACTGTATTAGACAGAAATGAAAGGGAAATATCTGCCTAAATGTGAATTTCCACCTCCCCATAACGTGCAAATGGAATTACTTTCCACATTGTTAAGAAGATTCATTAAACAGACATAGACTCTTAAGACTGAGAACCTGCTTATTTTGTAGTGACAAGCTATATGAGACGTGGCAACATTTATATATCTAAAATATGATTATCATAATTGAAATGTAGAATTAACCATTCCTGTGCTATTTATGATAATGGAACAATAAATACAAGCCTCAAAAATACAGAATACAATATGGCAAGAAACTAACTTAGAAGGGGATATAGCACACCAAAGCAAATCTTCCTTAACTGCACACAGCATTAGAGAAATTCATTTTGTAAATTTATTGAGAAGTACAAAAGAAATCAGATAGGACATATCAGTTCACCAAATTGTATTACTGTCTTCTGCCTTTTCAGCTGGTGTCTTTTAAGTGACCAAAGAGACAGTTCTTACCAAGACCCTTTGCGTCCCAGCATCACTTCCACTAAAGCCCAGGTCTCAGCTGAATCTCTACATGGTACTCTAAAACAAATAATTAATAATAATTTCTTCAGTTTGTCTTGTGCCCTGTGGAAGCCTATTAACATTACTGTTGCAGAATCACTTAGAGAGAGGAGGGGGGAAAAAAAAAAAGAAAAGAAATCAGCTATTTAAAATACCTTCCCAGGCTTCCTGTCCTCTTGCATAACATCTACGACCACGCCATCATTGTTCCGATGTGGCTAGTCCAGACATGCACACTGTTCACAGGAAATAATAGGAGTTGTTTTATCTATCACATAAAATAGACTGTATAGCCAACCCAGTATATAAAACTGTGCGGATTTTCATATATTTTTGATCAAAAATACACTCACCCTTCTTAGATTAGACATAGCTATATGCTTATGGTGACACTGACATTGCAGTATTAAGTTACAATGGTCAAGTCAGATACATTGGTATTAGTTTATTTAATTTAGAATAACAATAGCCATAATAGTGTTAAGATAATCAAAACTATATGAATATCTGAAATTTCCCTTGTATAAATCACTCTATTTTTGGATAGCACTCTATTTTTTGGATATAACACATTATGCTGCAACCCAGGACAAACTACTATGTATTGTAAAGAGTTTCAGTAAATGTCCATGGACCCTCTTAGATGTAAATGAATATTTTTGTATAACACCAGTAATCTGAAGGTAATTAAAGTAGTTTACGCAAGGTGCAATAAACAGCCATTGTTGTGTCTACAGAACATTACTTTATGCTGTTGTGAAGATGATGTCTTTTTAGCCTCCTAGCTGTTTTGAAAAAAAGTCAGAGGCCACTAGTCTGAAAGAAACAAGGACAAGATAATAACCAGAGACGCAATTAATCCCTGTGCTTTGGAATAGTACAAATTGTTACAACAATCACAGAAAAAGCTGTACAGAGGTTATAGGAAGGCAAGTTAATGCAAAACTTAAAAAAAGAATTAAACAAAGAGTGTCAGAAAGACCTAAATTACAACAGCAAAGAAATGAAAATTCAACTTAATAAGAAACAAATGTTGCATGCTGTGTATTAACTGTGGAATGCTTGCAGAAAATATGGAAAAGTCTTTGTTTATTCAACCCTGACTCATGGGCGAAGGTTTACATAAACTGGGCTTCTTTCCTGATCACAAGTGTGTGGGAAGTCCTGCGGGGACGGATTGTCAATAGGGCTACTCAGTCATTTGAAGTCAGACACACGCTTGGATTCAGTCATTCGGAGTAAGATCCTGGTCCTGTTCTTGTCAATGAGATGCCCTCACTGTATCCCGGGGGCCAGGATCTCCCGGCTGCACTGGGCTCTGGCTCGGCCTCAGCAATAGCCCGAGGGCTGCGTGACATCAGGATCAGTCCCCCGGACACAGCCCATGCCCCTGCAGGTCAGCACATGAGGCAGAGTATCCCCCCAAAAGCATTTCTGGTGCTCTCCTTGCACTTACTGGCAGGAATGAGCTTTTGTCTTACGCGTGAGGAAGGAAACAGAGAAGCAATGAAAATCCATGTTAATGAACATATGGAGAAATCTCGTTTACAGTTATGCCCTTTTGAGTCCACTGAAGTCAAAGCCACCTTGTTTCTTTTACTAGGACTCCTTCTGTAGCCTCCATCACTTCCAGAAATACAGACAGCCTTTGGGAGAATAAGTGTCAGCACCAAGAAAATGGAGGGGAAATATAGAAGGACATTGGAGAGGGAAGGGAGAAAGCACCTGGAAGGGATCACAGCAGGTGATGTAACCCTTACTACAATCTCTGGTAATTTAATGAAAGAAAATCAGAATAAATAAATACCTGACTCAGAACCAAGATGCGGCTGACCTAGTCTGAATGGGAACTAGATTGCTGTTGACCTACAGCATTGCCAAATTACCCTCCCAAGGAGAAGGATGAGTTTTTTTTTTTAATATACATATATATTTTACTTTCTAAAAAATAGAGAGTCTTAATAATTCAAAGAAATGTCTAGTGTTGGTAAATGTGCACAGTAAGTACTTGATGGATTGAATTAATTCCCCTCTTTATGTGCTGACATCCTACTCGCTACATACGGAGAGTCTACAGATGTACAGAAATGCTGCACAGGATGGGATGTTTCTTTATGGCATTTCCTTGTGCTTTAAATCTCTGAACAGTTTTCTGTGTGTGTGTTTTATATTGAGTCATTAAGTACAAAAACAAACCTATTCGCAAACCAACTTTGATCTAGGTTTCCTGTGATTTATCTCTGCTGTCTATAGTATGCACTGAAATCCTACCTGATTGTTATTAGCTCCCCAAATATTTATATCACTCCAGATAATCAATGCTTATCACAGTCAATACAGATGTTACAAGTTCCTCAAAGAAAGGCACTGTCAGCATAATAACATTTTAATTATTGCGGCATATGTTTTCGAATCAGTCTTTTGTTTACAGTATCAATTAAACAGAGCAACCATATATATCTATTTAATAGATAGTGTTAAAAATACTGTACATGTAAATTACAGATTTTCCCACTAAAGATATGAGGCGATAACGCAATGTCTTAGAGGTATTAACGTTCATTTAATTAATTTAAATCATGTTGCTAGTGCTGTGTTTTCTGTTTTCATTCCCTTGCGTTTGCACTCTCTACAGGATGTTTTTCATTCAACTGCTGTGTAAAACAAATTTGCTTGTGGGGGTTTGGTGATATAAAATATCTGACTGGCACCAGTACATTAGTTATTCTACATATAACTGAAAACATAAATGCAGTATTTGGAGAAGAAGTAGAGATAGCAGCATCTACTGGTTAGAGAGACGCAGAAGACATGGTTTCTGTTATCAAGTACGCTGTAAGTTCATGGGGAAATTCAGTGGCGAACAGGCTGAGCCCGTCTGTCCCTCAGGATCCCAGCCTTACGTGGACTCTAACTCCCTGCACCCTTTCAAAGTTCTCCAAGAGCAGGACAGTATGTCTGTTAAATATGTTTCAGTGAAAACTTCTGTATTATTTGCATTATAAGCAAGACTTAACATTCATCTGTCACCTAACAGAATCTAGTCTAGGAAATTGAGAAGAATATTTTATAGGTAGCATATCATGCTTTAAAGAGAACAAATTTTTTGTCTTTGTATTTTTCTTAATGTACTTGCTGCTCATGAAAGACGTGAGAGAGCCAATTCTGAAACAGAAGTACTGCGTGTATCTTCTGAATAGATGCAATGTGAGCACCACAGTCACTAGTGGTGATTTGCCATTGCCCTGATGAGAAAGGAAGTTAAACCAGTGAAAAGGCTCCTCTTAGAAGATTTCAAAGGCCTTTTATACATATTAGTATCTTTATATTGACAGCAATACACGTGTTGCTGTATTTGCCCATTTCAATAGTCTGACCTCATTTCAAACAGTTTTACAAGACTTATTTACTCACTATACCTAATATCCTGGAGCACTGGACTATTATTCCAGACATTTTTAGTTTAAATAACTAAATTTATTATTAAAACATTTAAAATAATATTTAAAGCATAGTCAAATTTATATTCAATATTCAATTTCTATCTTTGGTTTTACCTCTCACTATATTAAATTTAAAATATTTTTGAGACAGCTGAAGGCATCGTCCTAATGTCCTGAATCTATGAATCTTTGGCTCTGATATATACAGATCTATAGACATATATATGCACACATAAACAGACACATACATATATATGTCTGCTTAAATTCTTGGTACTTCCAACTCACGATGCTTACAATATTCCAAGATTTTCTTGGCGGTCCCTGCTCCTGAAGTCACTGGACTAGGTGAGAATTTAAGCTCCTACCAGAAACATGGGCTTCCCGTAAGCTCAGAAAAACCTGGAAAATGTCAATCAATCTTCCAGTCCAGATTCAAAATCATAGAAGGCTTTTTATCTTTACCATGAGCTTATTCCACACCAAAATAAAGACAGCAGCATTTGTTGGAGTGGCTCTTGGGAGCTAAGGAATTTTAAGGAAAAGAAAAACGTCTTCAGACCCAGTAACCTTGGAAGTAAGTAATATTCCATTATAAAGAGAACAATGCTTTGTTCCTTTGTTGCTGGTGCTTAGGTAATAATGGGAAAACAAAAGTCAGAGTGGGAGATATTGCTGGCTGTACTCCATTAAAGGCGGTCAGAGCTCTTCTCTGCTCAGCCTGCTTCACCAGGCAGCCTCTCAGGGAGCTACAGGATGAAGTCATTCGCCACCGTCCTGGGTCTCCTGTGACATTCCAAAATCTGCTTAGGGCTTCCTGAATCAGTGTGCTGCATCATCCCCTGCCCTGGCACCCTTTTGAAATCAAGGCATTACCAGCACTGCAGTGGGCTTTTGCACAGTGGGGTTGTCTGGTGGATACAATCTGCGTTCAGTCCACGAGCATGTTTGGTAAGGTACATTGGAGTGAAATTGCAAACATTTATGCAGGTCAGCGATATTGCTTGAAGTTACATTCAGTGGAACTGTCAATAAGCATTAAGTTATTTGTGTATACAGAAGAAGGAGGAAATAAATTGGATAACGACACCTTTGAAAGTGTATAATTTGGCTAGAGGTGTCGTCTACTGCTATTTCTGAGCAGGTTGGCCAGTTCACAAGTAGCCCAATTAATTATTGTATGACTTCAAACACTCTGTATTTCTAGTTATGATATCTTTTAAAGACAAGTATCTCTTCTGCTAAAAAATTGTATCTTGTATATTACCTTTACTGTTGGTTACTAGAACTCAGTGAAGAATATGAATGACTTTTTTGAATGACACTTTTTTTCACCAGGTTTGTTTTGTCTAGGATATGGTCAGAAACATTCTCCTATTTGTATATGACAGTTTGACTTTCCAAAGTCAAACTGATGGCTTGAGCTCCCTTAGGTGGTTTTATTGAGATCATTGACCATCATATGGCTACTTAAAGACCTAAACAGAAAAGTTATGCTAAGGTGAAACTGACTTCATTCAGGACTGAATGTCAACTCTTATCTCTAGAAAATAATTTCATATATGTAGATAGTTGTGGTTAGGGTAAAACCTAATCCTTTTTGTGATTCATTCGATTGTTTTTGTGCAACAAGTCTGCTGAAGGATTCCGACAAGTGTGATACTCCCCATGTGAATGACTGTCCCATCCATGCACAAATTCAGGGTTAATATTCAGTGCACAGGCTTAAAATTCACTTCCCTGATGCATTAGTGGGAACAAAGCACAAGTTGTTGACCTAGAAATGTAAATACAAAAGAAAATCTGAAAAAAAGGCCATGCCGGTAATGCAGAGTCCATCTAGAGATTAAGGAAATAGTCCTGACTCTTAAAACCAGTCCTTAGTCCTATTTCCTAATAGTAAATAGTTCTGGTTGAATGTACTCTTGCTCTGTTGATATCTATTTGACATAGACCTTCATTCTTGTGCACCCCTAAAAATACAGAGAGGGGGTTTTAAAATTGATAGTTAAATTCATATTAAAAACCTTTATTCTAATGTGCAGAGACATGAGCTGTACTCTCAGTGGGTTTCTCTATTTAGCGCACTGATCTCAGAGGAGAATTACATTAGGACATTCAGTGCCACTGAACTTGTATACGCTAGAGAGGCATTAGATTAAAAGTTGATTTGCTGTTTTCTTTCAGCACAGATCAGTTCTCTCCAAGTAAAGTTTCAGGTCATTTCTGGGGCATCACTGAAGGTAAATGAGCACTGATTTTATTAGCCTTTCTGGTAGATAAGAAGGTTTCAGTTTTAATGAATGTAAGATCAAATATTTGACAGAAAGTGAAAAGCAAAGACCGGAGGTATATACCATAAAGTGAAAGAGGGAGGAGAATAATGAGTTTGAAAAGTATAAAACACAGATTGTTTTAGTGGAAAAGAATGCTACAAAGGTCTCCATGTGAATCTTTGATTCCAGGAGTTTCTGCCAATTCCTTTTATTGCTATTTCAAGTAACCAGGTACATATGGCATGTTTGTAAGTAAAGCAGTCAATGAAGTTAGTTACACCTCTGCATTTATTACCTTACCCCGGAGTATTATTAACTTTTACATTCCCCATAAAATATAATTTATCACTTAAATAATTTGCTTTGTGTCAGGGTTCAGTGTGCTCCAGTGCTTTCCTGCTCATTAAATGAGATATTTTTACTTAATGAGCCCAGAATGTCCTTTGCATTTAACATTAGAATTGATTTCAAACACTCCATTTTTCTAACATATTTGTGTGTAATTTCAGAACGTGGACTTCATCCCACAATCTTACACTGAAGGAAAAAGAGCTACAAAGAATAATGATCCATGAATTCTAGAGAGGGACACAGTAAGTACGGGTGAATAGTTTTTAAAAAAACCTATTATCTACCTGAAATTTGCATCCTTTGATCTACTTTGAAAGTTTGACTTATTCTTTGAGCCTGATGCTGTAGTTACTACATCCAAAAAGCTCCATCAGAAAAGTTTTTTTGAAAGGACAGGACAATACTGCTTTCTATGACATTAACAGAAAATAAAAATTAATTCTGTCTTTAGATGAATGTGTGTAATATACTGCTTCATGTAACAGGCAGGTATTTTTTCAAAGGTACACAATTCACATATAATACATGCATCCATAGGATAAACAAATATCATAGAAATATAGCAATGTACACCTAATGAGAATCTGATTCATCTCTTTGCAATTGTGAATAATTAATCACTTTGCAATTAATTAATAAAATCTGAGTAGAGAAATCCTCTGTGGTGCAGTAAATCAGTGGTTCATAACAGTCACTGAAATCAGCCAAAAACTCTGAAATATCTCAGCAGTTCCAGGATAAATATTGCATCATTACACTTTAAACATAATTTTGCCACCAGCTAGAGCTCAAGGAGCTGGTAAGTAGCATATTATGGATTCAGAACGGGGTGTTGGTTTGAGGCCATTATATCAACCGTAACCATCTGCACATCACTTGTACACCCCTAACGTGCAGAGCACTAGACTGATCAGTCAGGTGCTCACACTCCAAGGCCATGAGCATGGCATGAAATACTCAATAAAGGATACTAAAGATGAATTTTAACCCCCATAATAATATTGTAACATTGACATTTTTTTATTCTCGGTGAAAAGGAAGTAAGCAGAAAAAATTGCTATATTTAACTGAACTCAAGAGTTTCACTTTCAGATTGGTTTTGGTCATCATTAAACCTGGTAGGCATGCCTGCCTGCTGTTGTGGTGTGTCACCCCGTCAACAGCGTTGGCCTCCCTCTTTCTGTCACCCCACAGCACCACGGTCCCTGGCTGGACTAGCTTTGTCGCAGGGCACCGGCAGTCCTTTTCCCCCTCGGAGCTCGCATGCAGTGGTGGCCACGTGCTGTGGGAGGTGCACGGCCACGATGGCGCTTCGCAGCCAGCAGAGGAGCCCCGGCCCCTCTCTGCGGGTAGGCGATTTGTGCTGCGGTGTAACAGCTCGGTAGCCTTGCTCAGCACATTATGGCATTTACCAAGGGAAATCTCAGGACTCTTATTAAACTGACAATATCACATTAGATTAGACATACATTATTTTTAAAAAGTGTTTTAAATAAGGAAAGAATACTACATGACATTACATCATGCCGTAAAGGTTGAATGTTGGAGAAGAGGAAGGTTTGCTTAGCTGTGGTAATAGGATTAGCAGAGTGGTGTAATCATACATGCAGGTGTAGTAAATGGTAACTTTTTATCTTTGTCATATGGTGAGAGAAAAACAATCGTAAAATACAGAATCAACTGTTGATCATAATTTAGTGAAGGGTGAACACACCCGGGTTACATATTAACACTTTCTCATAACTGAACAAGCTGTTAAATAACATCTAACTCCCACAGAGCTTGGGGAGGCAATGTCGTCGAGTGGGTAGAGTGTAAGGAAATCTGGGTTCTTTCTTCTTTTGGTGCTGCCACCAGTGCATCATCTCCCCTGTGGAAACCACTTAATTTTGCTTCTCCTTACTATCCTTTGTCAGTTTTGTCCATTTATGCTGCAAATAGTTACAGGCAAGGCTGGTACGTTCAGATCTGTAACTTGAATTAAGAACGCACAATTTTTAATTTTTTTCACTGTAGAATAAAAAGAAAAAGAAATCTTTCTTTTCAGCAATAATATACCACAGTTTGCTCCATGGAAATACTGAAATATCACATAGATACTTAATGCAGTCCATAATATGATGGCATATTTATAAGGCCTGATTAGACCTCAGAAAAAATGCAAGATTTTTTTTCTTCTGATTCCATACTAAAAATAGGTGTGCCCTTCATTTCATTACCATTTTAAGGAGGGATGCAGCATACTTTAAATTTTATTTGAATTATTTTACTAAATAATAATTATCACTGACCATTATGTTTTCAACTTTAGTGTCAAAGAACTTATTTTTTAAAGAAAATAAATGATTAAAGCAAAAAAATCTAACTGAAATAAAAAAACATTAAAAACTGAATTATCTATGCCACTCTGGGTAGATAATAACTTGGTTGCTAAAGAATAAAAATGCTGTAGGTGTTTAGATGTATACACAAAAGAAAATGTGATGACTGCACCTACTTTGAGAAGTTACTCCAATGGGTCAGCTGGACTCCTGGGAGATCAGTTTTGTGGGTTGCTGAGTCAGTGTCAAAAATAATAGGCAAGCAGCCGCAGGAAAAGAGGAAGAACTGCAAACGCTTTTCTCCCCTTTAGCCTGCAGCAGTCTCATTGACAAGGAAGAGCTTTAAGCACGCGCAGAGAGGACACCCCACCTGTTCCTGCGGTTCACCAAGGGTTTCATTACCAGACTCATAGCTGATTGTAATACAAGCATGAGGATAACATTTTCTGCACCAGGTAACTGCACGAGGCTGGTTTTGGTTACTGTTTGGTTCCAGTCACAGTGATATGACAGTGAGAGATGAAGACTGAGGAGAAGTGCAGTTGGTTTGTTGTGCAGAGGCTCTGACAGGCCAGGCTCAGCCTGCCCTGTACCCTGAAGCACTCGCATGTGGCCTGTGACCAGCTGCAGTCATTGTCGCCAATGGAAAGGGATATTGCAATGCATGCATGTGCACCCGACAAAGCTCACCTAGATTTATATTTTATTTGTCAACCAGCCATTTATAGTTGAGAAATAATCTCTGCAGTTTCAGGAGAGGGTAAGATAAAGGTGCTTATCAGATTCCTTTTGGGAATGGCAGTAAGTAGTTTACAGCCAATTTCAGTTAGCACAAACTTTCCATAAATAAGGACATAATATTTTACACTTGTAGACTAACGTCAAAGGCTCACTTCACTCTTTGAGAGACAGTAAAGTACCCATGATGAGTAGTACACTTAGTTTTGAGTGTACTATTCAAAGAAACTACCAAACTACCACAAATTTCTTGGAGTTGTCCATAAACAGCCAAGTTTAATGCTGAAGAAAAGTTTAAATTAATTACTTCTGTTCTGTAAATATTGTACAGATTTGCAGTCCAGGTTCATGGGACATTATTATACTTCTTGCTTTAAGGTGACTGGCTTCAAAGAGATAGGTAGTAAATCTATGCTTTGCAGAGGTATATAACATGGCATTGTTTCAATACGATAAAAAGTACTTTCCCTGTTATCTTATTACAAAATAGACTTTTTTCCAATTTTATATCTACCTAGGTATTTCGCTGTATACTCCATTTGTGGCAACAGACTAAACTGCCCTGAGTTTAAATTGTTTACCTCCTGATGTCTGCAGCCTTTCTTGCAGCCCTGTGGCTGCTGTCATACTGGTTGCATTCCCATGGCCAGCTCTTTGTCTTTCCATCCTGGGGCTATGCTTGATGCTTTTATGAACAAGTCCCAGAGCTCTTATTGCAGCTTTTGTCCACTTTGCCCATGCTAGGTATGCTTGCTGGTGCTCACAAACTTTTGCAGAAAAGTGTAATCCACTGCAATTCTTAAATCTTCGAAGTGCTGGGGATTGTCTTGATTCACATTATCTGCAAGTCCCGGGGTGGGTGGGGGGGGTGGGGGAAGAGAGGTTGTGCGCTCTTCTGCTGTTATAGCCCAGATGCTCCACACCTTTCCGTTTGGGTCTCGTGTTGCTTCGACTGCTCCGTTATTGGGGGCATTGCCCCGTATCAGCTTCAGCTGGGCTGGAGTAACTTCCCTTGCTTGTGAGCTTCCAGGATTCTTTTTAGATCTTCTCCTAGCCTCTTTCTGAGTGTTTTGTACCAAATTCCAAATATCACCTGGATTTTTATCAGGAATGTAATCCTCCCTTCCTTATTGTGAGATCAGTGTAGTTCAGCCTGAGACCAATTACTAACTCCTCTAGGTTTTCCCTCACATTTTTGTATTGCTTTCTTTAAACCATATTTCTTGGATCTTTTTGCATTGGGAGCATAGTGCGTGTAAATTGATTTAGATCTCTTTCTAAACAGCACAAGTCTTAAACAAACTTTAGAGTAGGTCATTTGTTAAAAGTTGCAAATGATACAGGTTTGACCTTTTATAGTGTCCCAAGTTCTTGGGAAGTTAAACTGCGAGTAAGTAGTGCTGACCAGCTTAGATATCTAATCTGTATTTGGAATTTTGTGAACTATGATCTGAAAATCGTAATTCAGTTACGGAAAAAAAGCCCTGAAAAAGAAGCTGGTTTTGATGTTCCTATACCTTAAGACTTGGCCAGTCTGCAACTATTTGGTCCTCTTACATGTTAGGTTCCCAATGCCTCCATGAGGAAAATAGGCTTGACTCTCATTAGACATTGTACAGTACTAATGGCACTGGCTCACTCATATTTTATTCATTAAATAATATTTTTCAATGTGTTTTTCTATTTTAAACTCTTACTGGAAAAAAGAGAGCATTATCACCTCAAAGCATTTGATTCCCAGAGCGAATGCCAATACCATCCAGCCACCCATAGTCTCCTAATTAAGCTGAGGGTTTCTTTCCTAAGAGCATGTATTTTTAGGGTGTCAACAATACTTCAGTTAAATGTAGTGTAAAGTGCACTTTTTTAGCAAACTTGCCCTTCAGAAAAAGGGTTTTTTGTCTTTAAAACATTGTTAGATTGTTTCTTTCTGTCAGTGCGTGATACAGTAGAAATCTTAAATCAATAACACCTTTTATTCCTATGCACTTGATGCATAACATCCTTCTTCACACAGAGGTTTAATGTGTTGTAAATTAATTATCTGGAATGAGTACAGGGTCAATGGACCTTGGTATGACCGGGATGTAATGTTAAAGTGTTCCATTTCCTCCCAGCCCTGCACACATCTCTTACCGTGTGTTTTATACGTGTCAGTTATGCCATCTTCTGCAGTTTGTTCCCTTAAGCGTTGTTAATGCTGCTCTAGGGCTTGATCGATAGGAAAAATTTGTTTTACCATAAATTTGCACAACCATTTTCTTTCTTCTAAAGACAGGGTGCCTTTAGTAACGACACTTATACAATGCTTGCTAGAGAACTATTCTAACTTTTATAGGAACTTAATAGCTTTTATTTTAAATTGGAATGAAATTGCAAACATTTTGCATGAGCAGCAGCAGACTGATTTTTTTTTTGCTTTCAGGTGCTTCAAATTAAATCAATTATTGTTGAAGTTTCTGGCAGGAGAAGTTTTGCTTTACTGCTTCTACGCAGCAAACCGCACAGATGAACAGAACTGTTATTACCTGTGAAAAAATGTCGGGAGGAAGATTCTCAGCCATGAACAGGGCAATTAAAACACGCGTTCATTGGGCTCTAAAGTAGTCAATTTCCTCTAAAAAGCGCAGAGGCCACCTCTACTATTTTTTCAAAGACAGCTCGGCTATTAGTTGCTAGGGTAACAAGACACAGGGTAGAAGTAAAGCCTGTCCACCCAGCACCGTATCAGCGTGGTCTATAGATGAGAAAGAATTACTAGTAACAACGTTCAGTTATAGATTATTTTTATTCGACTGCTACAAGAAGGACGGTTAAAATACTGTATATGTCTACAATTAAAAAGGTGCTGATACTGTAGGGCTTTAATTGGCTCTTCTGAGTAACGGATGACACTAAACTATTTAAGTAGCAAATGCTTCTAATCTCACCAAAAAGGGGAGATGCTGCCTAAAACTTATGGCACGTTGGTGGGATCAGTGTAACGTACCGCGCTGTGTCAATGTCACTTTCATAAACTTTTGCTGAAGTGGTTTTCCTCCTGTATGTTGAATGATGTTGTCAGGACTGCGAGTCGGGGGTACGGTGGAATCGAGTCTACTTTACTTCCCTTGATGAAAAGGTCGCTGCCACTTGTAAATCTCTTTTACTCCCTGCACAGTTGTTAGCGTCAAAGTCTGTCAGCTCTGTGGGATGTTAAAATTATACAACTGTGGTAGGAACAAGGAGCACCGATTCCCAGGTGGTACGTCCCAAGAAAAAGCCTCTGATCTTTGTGCAAAAGTTCTGCAGAAAGTTTTTCATCTAGGATTTTCGGCTCACTTCGGCTTGATTGCAGAAATAAACAACATTTATGTTTCACTGCCTCCCAGCTGGTGGGCCTTCCCTGATGATAGCTCATCACAGGACCACTTATTATGTCTGTAGCCCACGGTTGCAAGTGAAACAATTCCCTCTTCTTTATTTTTTTAAGGATATAAGGGTTCCAATTAGGGCACAATTAAAAGCCGGCCTGCGTTATGTTATGTGATTATGTTTTGACAAATCATCACACTAGATCAGCATCACAAATCCTCAAATTATTCATAAATTATTTGGAAAATACTTGCTTCTTAAGAACATGAAATAAAATAACTGACCAATTAAAAATCAAACAGACCAAAAAAAACCCCCACCTACCAACCAATACAAACAAAGCAAATGGCAAAAACCTCAAAAAACTTAAACAGAGTTTCCTCTTATTCATGACATCATTTGAACTCTTTTGTGCATAAGTAAAGGCAGTTTATAATTCAGAGTTTTTTTCCCACACAAGTCATCATATTTTATTAGTGACTTGCTGCAAATGAGAGAGAAACCTGCTGGAGCGCCAGTGGTGGACGTGTCCTGCTGGGTTTGATTGATTGCAACATAAAGAGTTTTTGAAGTTTTATGCTTGGCCATACAGGAGATGGACACAAAGTCCTCTGCATGTGAAGTATGGCCCAAGGGTTTAGGTGGTCAATTGCCTGCTTAATCCAAAGGCCTCTGCTAAGACAGAGTCAAGTTTTTCAGGCTGTGATGTATTTCCATATGACCTTGCAACTAAATTGATTTTTGATCTGAGTGGAGTAGTTTGCTGCTGAGGAGACAGAACGGGACCTGAAGGGGGCAAACACTGAATCTTTTTGGCTTGACTTTCAGTCAAGGTAACTCGCTGGGGCCCGACGGTGATACAAGTAAACATCTGCCAAGTGAATCTTTGTGTCAAGGCAGGCATTTTAGGCGCACTGGGGTGCACATCCATGGAGGCACGTATATCAGTGTGCCAGGCAGCATCGGAGTGCGAGGGAAGAAGATGCACCAAGTTCCCTTTTTTTTCCCTCTCATTTTTCACTGGAAAATGCTCTTCATGCACTGCTGGATCTGACCTAAAAGCTATCTGTCTCACGCATTCATTTGAATGACGTGAAAACAGAGTCTTTAACAGAAAGTTTTTTCTACCATTTGTGAATGATTTGAATGAAAGATAAGTAAATAAAAAAAATTAAAGAAAAAATAAAGTTTTAAATTACTCTGAGGAAAAATTAACTTCCACCTCTATTAATCACTTCCATGTTTGTATGGCTGTCTTTCAAAATGTTGTCCAGTTTGCCTTTAAGATCGTAAATACTTCTGCTTAATTCTCCTCCCCTGCCTCCTGAGGGAATTTTAATAAAAAAAAAAAATCACCTTTTCCCTTTCTTATCAGATTCATTTCTACTGTTTGAAATTGCTAAAAAACAAATCATAGATATTTGTACTTACGTAATTAGAAAGCTGAATAGATGCCTGTCATATCAGTCCTAGTGTTTACTGAAGATTCACAATGTTAGGCAGAGGGCAAGTCTGGGGAATGTAAACAAACATCGACCTTATCAGGACTTTTACCACTGAGAAATAGAAAATAACATTTTTTCCATACCCTCTGCCCTCTATTATCCCTCAAATTCTGTATGCTGTGCTCAATCTTTATATATTTTCTAATTTTCAATTTTTCTGGACACAAGTACAAAAATTGAGAACTGTCCGAATGATTTGACCAAGTCGGAAGAGAGAGGTTCTGGATTCTCATGTCTGCCTCTACCCATACAGTGGGTATCCTTTATATGGGTATTTTGTCACTCTGAAATAAAATGAAAGAATGCATATATGCTAATTTTTCCATATACACGATGTAGACATTTTAATCCTTTATAAAAACAGATTTTCATAAAATGAGTTTTGATTTTAGTGTGTATTTCAAAACAAAATTAGGTATGTGTTTTTAAGAATACATAAATTCTGGTAACCAAGTAATCAGGTTTAACTTCAACCAATCATCTTAATATATTTCTAGGGGGAAGGAAATAAAGACAAGACTCAGACAGTATTTAGAGAGCTTTGGAAAAGTTATTTATTGATCAAGCCTACTGACCAAATATTTGAGATAATTTACAGACAACAAAATCTTGAGGTCCTTTTGTGGGACTTGAAGCCTTTCCAGAGAAAAGGCTTGCCTAGGTGTAGAAATACATGAATTAATGTAACAATTAATTGTGTGAGTTTTTACTGGTGCAGCCTTAAAAAAAATCAGTCCCACATTATTTTTCATGTCTAAGACTAACAGACATGATGGAGACATGAACATTTTCTGTAATGGTTTGAAAGACATGATATGAAGCATCAATCTGTTGATGTTAGGCTAGATGACTGATTTATTTGAGAGAGAAATGGATGTGTGAGATCTGCATCATATTACCAATAGTTATGGAGAGGTAAAGGAAGTGAATGAACAACATTTTCAGAAATCACAGTTTAGCTCCAAAATGTGGCTCAAGTAGAGACTGAAACTGAAGCCCATGCTCAGCTGAGCTGGGAAGCCAGATTCGATAAGGAATGAATAAATACACAGTCCAAAGCTTCAGCTGCTATAATTCATAATGGAAGATCCTCTTTCCTGTATAAATGTTCCTGAACTGAGGCTCTCAGACACAATATTAATGCAGGTTAGGAGTGAGAAAAGTGATGCTGATTAAGCCATATTAAAAAAAAAAAAAGTTTATAGATGTTCTTAATCCGTGACAAACTTTCTCCTCTCAAAATGAAGTTTATACCGATCCTTTTAATTTGCAGAAACATAAAGTCTTTAGAAAGAAGTTTCCCAAATACCTGCAACACTTTAAAACATAAACAGTTCCACTGAATCCCTTTTCTGCAGACTTTTTAAAGGAAAACAATTAAGAAGAGCTAATATACGCGTACATGCTAAATATTTGAAATGTTTGCAGCTATCACCACATGACATTGATCCAGTCCCTGGGGTCATGCTGCTCAGTGGTGATTTCAGCGTATGGAGTCTCCATGCTGGTTAACCTGCTGGGGAAAACTGGCAGCTCTTCATTCCCAGGCCAGGATGTACTGTGCCATGTTCAGTCAAAACGCCATGCAACAAACCTGGGTTAAACATCTTTATTACTAAGATACAAAGTGGAATAGTTATCTAATCAAGGTCTTTTGGAATCATATCCAAAAACAAAACAAAACACAGTGCCACGTGCGAGTTCCTTTATATAGTTGAGCTAAAAAAAGAGGAAGAAAACAAAACCCTACATCATTTCCATACCCTCCTCCTCCTCTTACAGCAATGAGCTAGGTTGCCCCTATTGTTGGGTAATGTATGAACAGCAGCATGCATTCGCAACTTGCATTCAGATTTTACTGCAGGAATAAAGCAAGGTCAAAATAATATCTAATGTTCAGGCAGCGTGTTGGTATTCTCCCCATCAACAGACTATTCTTAAATAACAGTAACAAATTAGCATTAAAAGCTTTCCACAACAAGATGTCTAAAATCAGACTATCTGCTCAGTGACCTATGCAGAAAAAAGGAAATACATTACACTGCTTTCTAGTGCTCCCAGCCTTAGCTGCCAGGAGTGTCAATTATGTCACTACAGCTTTTCAGAAGTGGAACTGGCATGACTCAAGAAAAGAGCAAAACAAGAAAAAAAGAAGAAAAAATAAAAGCATAAACTCTGGATGTGAAAAGAGAGAGTGTTGCAAGCGGAGGGTGTTTCGCTCGGCACTGAGCTGGAAGGGGCTGCCCTCTTTCGCACAATGGGAGCCAGCTTCCCTGCTGTGTTCTCTGAAGTGGCTCATTGCAGAGCAGTAATATTATATCTTAATAAGCATAACACTGTGAACTGAGGCATATTTTTAAGTCAGACACATGGGAGGGAAACTTATCAGAGCAGAGCTGTGTTATTTTTAATGGAGCATGTGTTTGTCTTGTAAGTGTGTCAGAAGAAAAGGAACAGGTCTCAGGTTTCTTCTCACCATGTCTAATGTCCGATGGGCACTCCGACTGCCTCTCTAAGTGACATTAGTGGTCTTGGATATTGCAAGTGATACAGGACAGTCTGGACTACACTTACACCTCACATTCTTTTCTACTATTGGTAATCAGTGTTCATTTGAAGCTGTCCTTCAGATGAAGCTTTTTAAAAGCAGAGTCAAGCACTGAGCTAGTTTTCATTAGAAAAAGACAAATAAGATAATAATGAGAAGCTCTGTCCTCTTCTCAGACTTGCATGAATGTATGGTACATGATGGGGGTCTTGCTCTGCAGAAAAACACATTTTCTTGTATATGCAACTAGAAAGCAGAGCTTCCAATGTGGAACTGATAGCTGTCATGTGTATCATACTGCAGCCCATGCCACTCATGGGTAATGGGTTTTTTAATAAGTCCTGGGTCAAGATGTATCATAAAACTATTTTCCACAGTGCACAGAAAATATATTCTGTCTTTGCGATATGACTGGATCTAGTCTTACGTTCAGCAGCCAGCTGAGGCTGCTTGTCTATTATAGTCTCTTCCACCATTCCTAGCAAATGAACAAATAACTAGATGCCCTGTGAAACATTTTAAATAGAACTGTCTCCTGGAAAAACTGTTACTGACAGAGACAGGTTCGATCCAGATCAAGAGAACCTGCTTTGGGATAGTGAAGATCAATACTGGCTTTTTTATTTCTGGGTTTTGTTTGTTTGTTTTTTATTAAGAGGAAGGAAGGATTATGATGAATAAAGTAAAGCAGAAAACAAGCAATCTGTGAACTGAAGTGCATCCTTCTTATTAAACCTTATTGTGCTCTTAAAGCAGTAGCAGGAGCTGTTGCTATGAACTCTATCATGCACGAGGCTTTCAAAAAAGCATTTAAAACTATATATTAGCTAGAAACCACTTTGTCTACAAATTCTGAAAGAGCTGAAAGTAGCTTTTGAAAAGGAACCAGTGTATTGGAAGAGGAACCAATATATTTCATGGCAGAGTAAATTAGATGCTATTTTTTACTTTTGAAGTGTTTGATCAAAATCCAGTGCTGAGCACAAGTGTCTTAAATTAATTCTATTTAGAGTGCTTCTCTGTTGTTTGCAACCTGGATCCTCTGACCTGGATCCTATACTACTAACTGCCCCACTTTCCTACAGTGTTCCCAATACCAGCTGGAGGTGCTAAGATCTCATTGTTATGTTTGGAAAATAATGCAAAGGTTTGTGTGTGCTGGAGAGATCAAAACTATGATTGCTTTTATTTAATCTATTTAAATAGTATTATCTAATATGACTTTACTTAACAATAAAAAAGCCAATTACAAGGAAAGAATAGTCACCAAGACCAAATCACACCAGTAATGGCAAATTATAAAAAAGAATTTGACAGGACTCAGGAAGCAATGTTAGCATTATAGCTGCAATATTCTCCATAGCCTTTGGCTAAGTCCAGGAATTCAGACTACAATATAATCCATCTTTTACAACCCACAAGCATTAAATTCATCATTAAAATGTTTTCCCCTTCCCAAACCTTCCATGTAACAAGCATCTCAGTAAGATGAAAGGTATTTGTTACTACAAACAGCCTTAAGGAAAGGAAAAAGAGCAAATCTGGAAAACATATTCATATTTTTCTGGAAATGGGTAGTATTCATAAAACATTTAGCAAGTTCAAGGTCAACTTGTTCTTCTTCCCTATACTGTTCATAACAGGCATTTGACAACTCAGTGACAGTCAATCTAGCTGCTGAACTGAATGTATTGGGTCATCCAGTCTAAATAAAAGCTAAATCTCCATTGTGGAATGAGCACAACAAAAACAAGGACAACAAAAGACATTCCTATTTCTGAAATTTCAATTAAAATCTAAAAAATATATTTACTAAAGAGAGGAAATAGACCTAGTATTAGTAAAAGATGGCAACATATCTCCTTGAGCAGGCATATGAGTAAATGGCAAGAGATTATGGTCCTTCACATGAGAGTGAATGTTTTCTTCTCTTTCAAGAGAAACTTTGTAATCCTGAGCATTCCACAAGTTATTTTGTTTTTCAGTGTATGCTGTCTGAGAAATGATTCAATGTAAATAAAACATTCAACTTCTGCAGTCAGACTTGTTCTTTGGGCTTACCTTGTCTTTTCACTGCCTTCTTAAGAACATACTGGATTGTGTTCCCAATATCAACTGTGTTTTCATCTGTTTCTCAGTAGGCTCTGTCTCTTAATAAAAGGTGACCCATGGAGGCTCTTGCCCTAATGAAAAATGAGATTACACTCATCAGATCGGAACCATGAGATTGTCATTTTAATTTCACATCAAATCAGCTGATCAAAATAGCAGCTTAAAGATCCACAAAGATATACATTTTTGCAAATTACAGGAATCTTGAATTCTGTATCCAAACAAATTTGGAGGCAGGGCCCATTTGTACTTTCAATACCACTTCTTGTTATATTCTCTGTTACCATGAATCTTAAAGAATTTATTCTCTGTCCTTGTATATTCTGGACAATATGAATATACATGCAGTATACCCACCTGTTATAAAGAAAAGAAAAATCTCTTAAGTAAATAAACAATAATTGGATATAGTGTACGTTGAAGAGATCATTTGTTTACAATACAGATCATGCTAAACAACCAGTTGACACCTTCCCTCCACCACTTCTGAATTACACAGCTATTTCTGCCACAGAGAAAGCGCATATCACCAGTTGACACCTTGGTTTCATCAAGATATGAAATGAAAAGCAAATAGTAACTGTTTGGTGGATGGGTTCATAGATTAAAGATCAACTACAAATTGAGAGGAGTATCAAGTTCACAATACAGTTTACTCCTTTTTTGGAAACCACTACCCGGTTTTATTTTCAAAGCTGCCACAACTTTTCAACAGGACTCTTATTCTAAGAGCTCCATATCTTTCATCAGCCAGCACCCACAGAATGACTACCGTCAAAGTTAGCGTCAAATTCTTCTGCAGACATTCAGCTGGACTCCTCTGCAGGGATTTAGCTGTAAGGGCTTGCTGGTGGAACAATATTATTAACAGGCGGCCCATCTCCCCAGATCTGGGTCTCTCAAAGAACAGCCATAGGGATTTTGACTATCCTAATTACTTACTGAAAAATTTCAGATCTCCTCTCCAATTCTGTAAAGGTATTTTAGAAGTGGTTTTCTGCATACAATTATAATGTATGTCTGTAGTCCAGGAAGACAGCTGACAAGCACAGTGAATCTTGCTCTATATTTGGAAACATCTGCTATTTCACTTCCATGATGCACAATGACGTGCTGTTCCAAGAGGAAGAACAAGTTTGGCCTAGGAGGAATTAATTTGTTGAAGTTGGGATTCTTCTAATCCAACTCCAGCCTTCTAAATCACCCTCTGGAGGTACTGCTCCATTGAGTAAGAGTCTAAAAGAGTTGCTAAATTAGGCCTCTCTGACTGGCAGACCATTTGTCAGGGACATGACTCCCATCCTGACTGAGGCTGGCTCTTCAAGTATCAGCAGCGTTCTTCCTATGGTTCATTTTGTCATTCTCCAAAGAGAAGCATACAGGCAACGTGACTGTGCTGTGGAGGCAAAGCTATTCACCTGACTGCAGGGGCTGCGTTTGTGAAATGTGGAGATTCAAGGTGAGGTGCCTTAGCACCTAGATCCTTAGATCTAGGAGATCTGTTTTACTGTGTTTTACACAGCAGTCACACTGAAAGGCAGTGATGTTATCAAACACGTAAAAACTTAGTTGCTTATTAAGGCAATGTGTCCTTTGAGGGGACAAGAAAAATTGGCAAAATGCTGTTCATGATAGTGATGGAGAAAATAATGCCCTTGAACAGCTAGTGAAATAATTTGGGGTGGAAAGCTGTGGCATGAATAATCTTTTTTACATGTGTAGCAAATTATTTTTAAAACTACCTCATCCGTTCACTATATAGAAACTTTACATTACATACATGGAAAGGTAGTTCTGTAGGCCAAGGATTCTTATGTTTAAAAGTCTGGGCCACAAAGAGCTACCTAATACTACAGAGAGGGCAGCCTTTCTTTTTCTCTTAAATTTAGACACTGGTGGAGTCTTTCTTCAGTAAAACTAATGAGTACATTTTGATCTGTCAGATTCATTTGATCTGTCAAATTTCTGAATGATCAAAACTACAAAAATCAAATTACTCCATGAACTGAGCTGAAAATAATCCCTTTTTTTTTTTCTAAATGTTATGCCAACTTTGTTAAGGTGCCATGAAATATGTGTGCTTGGAAGGAAAAATGATTAGCATTTGGAACGGTTGGACTTCTAGTGTGGAGGGCACCATCGAATTCTTAATTACGCTATCATTTTTTCTAACCTTTTAGCCAACTTTCAACAGATAAAGAGTGCCAAAAAAATCAAATACCTTTAATGGCAAAATACCCTTAAAGTGTACAAGAAGCGTAAAACAAGTGCAGTGTGTAATAATGAAATGGGCAGTGCCATAACAATGCACTCCAAAACTGAGAGCTAGAAATGAAAAAATAAAAAGAATTATTCCTTAAATCTAATGTAGGATATCCATAAAGCCTTCATCTTATGGATAATCATAATCCTTCAGCTATCCATAAAGGCAGGAGTTACTGCTTATACCAGTGATTTTTAAGAGGTATTTTTAGTTTTGGACTGATAAAAGTTATCTCACAACACTTGCAGTATTGCCATCCCACACTTTCAAGAAATATGATTTAAGCATCTAGAAATCATGGGATTAGCTTCAAATCCGTGAATTTAAACAACTATATTCGGCACATCTAACCTTCCAGGCCTTTTAGTTTTAGATGTCACTTTCTAACTTTTCTCCAATCCAATCTTGAACAGATATATATTTTTTTTAAATGAACAAAGAATGGTTTTAGACACGAGTCTAGAATCTGAGACTTAAGTATGCCATAAGAAATTTGGAGACTATAGTAGCTGTAGGCAGTGTATTGTTTTCTAACCCAGATTTTAGATGTCACTCTGAAGGAGGGGGTTAAAAAGAATTAAATTCTTTATGCCAAGCCTGTTTTGCATTCTTTCAGAGATCAACTCTGTAAAAACGAAACCTTCCCTCCCCCCTACTTGGCCATTTTCTGTTTCTTTTTTACAGCTAGATCCCTATAACCATCAGCTCTGGCTGTTAAATTTCCTTTTAATGTGTGTACAAGGAACAGCGACACCATCTGTAGAAGCTACCGAAGTCACAGTCTCATTCTGCAAAGATCCCTGACAGGGTTCTGCTGCAGGCCCTTCCAGCAACTGGGGAAAAATGAAATTTATCCTGGCTTCTGAGTCCCTCTGCCAATACTACATCTTTTTGTTAGACTTAGTTGTTTCTCTAGAGGTCATTGTCACTATTGCTGGTACACAGCTTTATATTGTAATATGCAGATAATCAGCTTTCCTGATGTTAGCTTTTCCTGTGGCCAAGAGTCAAAAGGGACTACCATGTATCTCAGAAAGCTTGTTAAAAGGGAGAACTATGGGGCCACCTCACAAGCGAGAGAAAACATGTGGTCTTGAAGGGCCCCATCAAACTCTTTTGAGGAACAAGGCTTGGCTGTGTCCACGGGCAAGCTTTGCAGCCCCTGCCATCTTGCTTCCTCCCATTCAGATTACTCTGCAGCACCCATGTATCTTGCAGCTGGTAAAGAGCCACAGCATCTGAGCTGGCTTCAGGCTACATGTGGTCATATTTCCAAAAGTGATACACATACCTATGAGCACAAAATACAGTTGATTTCCTCAGGGAGTTGTACACTGTAATACCTGAGTGCACTCCAAGTACCAAGTTGCCAAGGGAGGCAATGCAACCTCACAGTTACAATAGATCTTCTGTGTCTACTGGACCTGACTCAACTTTGACTCGATATTTAGTAAAGCCCTTTAAAAACGCAGTATTGATCTGATGTTAGAGTAAACTATGAATGCAATATTAAAATAGTATCCTCTCCAAAGGATAATAATCAGTGTACCTATGAAATATGGGGCCTGAATGCACCAGGGTGTTGACCTGAAGAGCCCCTCCCCCCCCCCACGTGCTTCTTATTCTAAGAAGGGTGAATCTTCAGATTTATAGTGTTGCTTCCTTTCCTCTCATGCTCCAGTTCTATATTCTTTCCCTCTCCTACCCTTTCTGGGTAGCAGACGATAAAACTTTATAAGATAAATCAGCGTGGATAGGATGCTGAGACTGGATTTTTGTTTCTTCATCCTTTCGGTAAAGGAAGCTGAACCGGCTCATATAGATGGATGGGTGAAGTGAAGTAGAATATTACTGAATAATCTGCAGCCTTGAATGATGAAAATGAGATACAGCATGCCTAATATTTCATTGACATCCATGAACAGAGAGACAAAAACATCCAACTCTCACTCTGAGAAGGAAAGTTGTGGGCACCCTATTATGCCCACCCACAGCTCCAATTAGAGAGGACGATGGTGATCCCACTCACCACTCCTTGTACAGTCTCAGCGGACAGGCTGCACCTGGGGCATGAAGAAGAAACATAGGCCTTTGGTGAGTTCTCAGAGCAATGCTTTCCTCTTTTCTTTCTGTGCAGGAGGTAACATCAACTTAAAAGAAAAGGAAAGTTTCATGTAAAATGGGTAAAATATAATTCCATGTTTCTTAATTTCTGCAGTAATTTCATGATTATGTTTCTAAAAGAAGGGATGCATTTTTATTTTCATAATTAACAGGAAATACATGTTATACATTAAATGTGACACAAGAGATATGAATTATGCAGTAAGCTCAGTGTGTGCTGATCAGCAGAAAGCCCAAGGCACATTCAGCCGAGTTTCAATGAAGATCTGTAATGAGTTTCAAGTACATCATTTCCTGATGGAGGGTAAGAAAACATCCATCAATCCTAATTTTCCCACAGTTTTTAGCTTTTTATGAATACTTTACAGCTTACAGAAAAGATGAGTTTCTAAAGTGCAACTTGAGAAAATTCTCCTAGTAATTAGAGAGGGTTCCAAGCCAAAACTAAAGAGGTCTGAACCTTAAACACAGGGCTGGTTCAAAGTTGACAGCCCTAACCTCTATTTTTTCCCAAAAGGTTAAATTGATACCCCAGACATGACCACCCAAAGGATATTTTGTTTTCCGCTTGAACTTTAAATGAGGGTTGTCATGTCTATGCCTATGAAAAAATCGTTTCAATTTGAATTTAGGTGTTAGGCTTGTTCATGATTCTCTAGTAGCGTTGCACAGGATTAAGGGTTAGCCGATCTGAAAAAGCAAACACAAAAGAGACTGGGGCATCTCTATGCTGAGTTTTTACAAGTAGTCAGGCCAGGAGCTATGAAGAGCTTTCAGAGAGAAGCTCTAAACTAGTCAATCTTTGGTGCGTATGTGAGTGGCTGAAAAATATATATCTGGTTGGGTGATAAGCATATGTAAACAAATAAATATATGAAGCCAGAGCAGAAGGTCTTGCAGCCTTTTGCAGTGTGTGTGTGCGGCAATCACAGAAGGATGAAATTACCATTTTTCCTACCATTCCCTCTTCTTTCTTCCCAAACCTCCATCACAGCAACAAGCACAAGATGAACCACTATCGACCGTATTCAGTGAAACCAGCCCCTACTGTTTAGCAAGGAAGCATCAGGTTGTTATTTGAATGTGTTTATCTCCTATATATGTCCCTCCACTATGTTAAATGAAAGCTCTCTCAGAGGAGGTCAACATTCTGATTTAGTGACAAATTAAGCTGATATGTTTATAGGATAGCATTTGAAATGAATGTTCAAGGTTTCTCAACTCAAGCCACCACTTTTCAGTTGAATCAGAAGGCTTTTTTAAATTCACAGAGTACATTTTGTTTGCTGAATAACAAAATCAAAAGGTGTGATCTGTTGTACTGCCTGAAGTACTCAACAGCAAAAAACAAAATAACTTCAGGTATGTGTGAAAAAACTGAAAAGCTGCGATATTAATTAGAGTCTGCAATTCTGAATAGCTGGATCTAATTGAGTTCTGCAAGTGAATCTGCAGGACAATCCTCACTCCTTATGTGTGTTTAAGTTACAAAGCAGAGCTTGTTTCAAGCATATTGGTATTTTGTTTGTATTTATAGATATTTCTGGGAGCAGGTTTTTGTTCACAGAAGCATTTTAAGGAAAGATTGTGCCTTATATGAGTCCAGGCATGACCAACAGAACTTGATTGGCACCAGAAGTTGTCCTCTTCAAAACATTTCAGCTAGTCCATCGAGACACAGAAACAATCCCAAGGGACTAAGACGAACAAATTATGATAGTAAATATGAAGATTATGAAGTAAATAATCACACTAGATTATTTGGATTTCTCCAAAAAAATTATTGCCTGAAAATTATTCACCCCATCTACCCAGTCATCACTGTGGATATTCAGAGAAAGAAAAGGATAGAATCTCCCATGTTCTTGTAATAAAAAGAAAGGCTAATTTATTCTCCATTAAGGTCGGCAAAAATTTTTTGCTCAGCTCTCGTATTAATGCAAAACTATTTTGTGATACAAGAGCAAAGAGGAAGATAACATTGAATATTATTCTCTTACTTTGGAAGCAAACACAACTTTTGTAGTACAATACTATGCTTATCGCCCTGTTCAGGAGTTAATATGTCAAGCGTTCATACTGGATCTTAAATTATGCTAAAATGCTGAAGGGTATATCAACATTTTCAGCATCAAAATGTCTTCTCTTTGATCATTCAAGCTTTCCAGCACTCTGGGTGGCCCTAACTAATAAGGAACTGTGATCCTCTTTACTACTTGATTCCAGCAGCCATGCAACAGACCACATGCAATTAGTGCTTGCCATTATTGTTTTAGTCAAATATCAACACTTATCCTCTTTAAGAATCAGTTACTTTCAAATGCATATTTAATAGATCTTGTTGCTATATATACAGGAATCAAAATTTATTTCTCTCTTAAGGATTTAAAAACTTTATCAATTTTTGAGGGGGGCAGTATTTTTTTTCCTCAAGGCAAAAAAAGTGTACCAGTGCTGCAATACAGGTAATACATGTTACTGAGCAGGAGCCCTGCTTGGAAGTTCCATACAGAGATACTCTATGAACAGTACAAATCTTTGATTTTCTCCACATTTCTGTATGCAGTTCTTGGTATAAGAGGGTTATGAACATGATTTACAAGTCTGACATACCACTGCGATGCCAATACGGTCAGCATTCAGCCCCGTGTCTCTGCTTCAGCTATGTCTCGTCTGCCTTATCACAGCTACTGAGCACTAACTAACACCCCTACTCACTGTGTTGTATGGAGAACTCAGAAAAACAATCCCAGGCAGTTATTCTGTTATGGGTTTATTAAGGTGTAATATATGTTCTTGAAATCTTTGGAGAAAAACACTTGCATACAGGACACAAATAGGTAAGGGGAAGTTGTCAACTTAGCAGCACAGTCACATTGAGTAGATGGCTAGGTGTGGAACAGAAAAGTATGTACGTTTTGTTAGATACTGTGGTACCTGAGCCAAGATAATTCACACTTTTTTAGGGCTTAAGGATAAAGGAAGAGGGGCTGATGGTAAAACACAGATTACATTGAAATCAGATTCAGGTATGATGACATTTCTCAAAACTCCTGAAGGAAGTTTTGAAACTCCTGAAAGCAACTGAAATCAGTCAGGTCCTCCACAAATTTCTGTCCTATATTTTTTAAAAAGCCTGCTGAATTTGAGCCTATGACAAAGTTGCCAAGGAGGAAGTGAGGAATGACCTGCAGGTACAGTATCTTTTAAGAAGACCTTAGACCCCTCTCGCATTGGTTATAGGATGATTTTCTGTCCTCACAATCTTGAAGAATGTGTGGTTGTGATAAAATCACGGTGAGTTAGATGTTTCAGCAATGTCAGCTGCAGAAAACTCTTTGGATGGATAAATAATTCCAGTCCTAGAGGTACATGATAGCAACCCCCTTTCCCCAAAGCTTGTGTAAGTAACAATATGGTTGATGGTCTCCCCAGTACATATTATGTAATAATTTGTGACTTAGAGCCATAGGTTGGGCAGTGGGTCCTGCCATAGCGCTATGGCACCTATGGTTGTCCTTAACCTTATTCTCAGCTCAGTTATTCAGTTCGGACGCTATATTAGGCCAGATTACCTGGCAGTCGTCTTTACGCCCTGAATGTCTCATGTAGGGTGCCAGCAACCTGAAGCACTGAGAATCACTACTCACCTGAAAAATAATTTAGCCGTCATATTTTCATTGCCATGCAGTCCCTTAATTCCACGTACTCCTTAGAATTTGGGTTAAAAAACTCTGGTAGTTAATGCTAGTGGAACACAGATTTGAGATTTAAATTTCCTTCCATTTTAATATATAGGTGTAGATTTTAAATAACTGTAAAAGAAATAGACTTGAAAGAGGGACAGTATCTGTTCTAAGAGAAGGATTGCAGAATGGATTTGCTCTGAACTGGGATCATTTAAAACCAATGAATTAAAAATCAGATAGCTGGTGAGGGCTATAATTTACACTACAGAGGTGATAAAGCCTTTTGTGTTCGTATATACAAAGAAAGCATTAAACTACAGTGATTTTTGATTTTTTACTTCCCACCAGGGAGAAATATGAAACTCAGTTTTACCCCCGATTGGTAAGGTGCTAATTTGTCTGACAAGTTGTTGGAATCTCAGTGTGTTTGAGGTATCCTTGATGTATCAACACCTTCCTG